AATTGTACCTGTCTTTTTGCACTCCTAGTTCAAATCTTTTTTACTGTGAATTAGAGTGAAGCATAGTATCGCATTGTGAAATATTTCCATACTTGAAAGAGGAATAAAATGCTATAGGGAAGCTAAAAAAGACATGCACCTTGATCATTTCTCAATAACTTAAAATATGAAACTACTGTCACGTAGACTATCTATAATTCCCGAAGTTTTGGTATATATCATCAGCTAATCTTCGACGCTCAAGTGTACAACTACCAAATTCACAAGTGCCAATTTAGCAAAATATAAGGGCAAAAAAAAAAGGTTAAAACAGGAACTTTGATGAACAACAATAACAACAGAGCCTTATCCTACTAAGTAGGGTCAGCTATATGAATAGTAATCCAAGTAGTCCAAGTCTTTAATTAGAGTCTATTTTTCAAGTCTTCCTAGGTCTTCTCCTATCGCTTTGGCCTAAGCTTCTGTCTCGTAATCTCATCTTCTAACCACAGCGTCTGTAAGCATGGGCGAAGCTACAGAGGAGCAAGGAGGGGCCCCTCCTTTCGTCGGAAAAGAAGCCCAGAAGCGGGTAGCCGCCCCTCTAATTAGTCGGAAAACCTGCAAACACCCGCTGGTTCCTCTGCTGCTGTACATCATCCGTTGTGCGTAGGCCTTCATTTTTATTTTTAAATCCCAAGTACTATTTGCCTATAGCGAAGAAATAAGACGAAATAAGGGCATTTCTGGTGCGAGCCGGAGCTGCATTGCAGAAGCGGCGGTTCAAATGATTCGCGAGGAAGAAGAAGGGGGCCAGCTATTTAAATTGAACGCACAGTTTCATTTTTGTTGTGGCTACCAATGAAAATACAGCTACAAGCCACTTCTAATTGTTTTCTTATTTTTTTATAATTATTTTTTATATTAACAAAAGATTTCAGAGCATTAATTTTATTAATCTAGAGTTTAGAGTTTTATAAAAAATAGTAACTCACTGTAAGAAGTGTACTTTTCTCATACTATCATATTCACTAAATTATTAAAATAAAAATTTTGATAATTTTGAATGTTATATGTTAAATAACAACCTTAATTCAATACAAGTATAATTTTTTAAGGTGTAAGACACTTATGTATATGATATATACATAATAAATTTACTCAAATATGTCTAGGTTCCCGCCTAGGCGTTAGATGATATATAAATAAATTTACTCAAATCTGTCTAGGCATTAGGCTTCAGTTCGTCGCCGGCCTAAACCTAGCGTCTTTTAGAACCTTTAACCTTAATTATGAAAGACATTAATATTGCCTACTATCTAAAAGGATTTGATTGTCTACAATTTTTTTGGGACCTTTTACGGTTTTAAATTCCGCCCCTCCTCCCGACTATTCTTGGCTTCGCCACTGTCTGCAAGAGAAACATTTTATAAACAAAATAAAAAAATAAAAAAATCTTGACATATTTGCTCGGGTCTCTCACACTCTGAATGACATTGTTTTAAGGGGTGTGCTATCCACACATTCCATTTTACTTCTCACACACCCTTGATAATTTTTGTCCGTTGATCTTCTTCAATTCATCCGATCTGACGGCCGTAAATTAAAAAGGTGTGCGAAAAGTAAAATGAGGTGTGTGGATATCACAACCCTTGATTTAATATGGAATTTGAGCCTGCAGTAGAGCAGATTTTAGGGAGGTGTCCTCAATTTGGTTGACAAGTTGAGCCCTTCAACAAGATGTAATAAATGGGTACGTGCGATAAGATTTACTCAGAAAAATAAATAAATCATTATAATAAAATAAAATAAAATCTAAGGCAGTGTCGGCAAGGGAACCTTCTTCCCCTTTCTGGTTGGAGAAAATAAATGGAGTCGAATTTATGGTGGTGTGTACCAACGCAACGCACCGCAATGCAATGCCCCAATAATGTATGCAAATTAAGTGTTGATACTCTCTCTCTATCTCTCTCTCACTACTTGGGGGAGACTTTGAGTCATTCTTTATTGTTGGCATCATTATCCCTACAAAGTCATTTATTGGGCAATCGTGTGCATGCATAAAGATTGCCTGCTCTACCGGGCATTGATTTGAGGTGACCTTGGAATAATTTGGGTGATGGGAGGAAGGATAGATAGATTCCCAAATTTTATTCCCCTTTAAAATTAGAAAGAAAAGAAACACTTATAATATTAGTTACGGGATCATAATTTTTTAAGGTTGGAGTAAGGTGGGTCAGAATACAAATATCTTAGAAGTTCGATCATGAACTCAATAGCTTTACATGGAGCTAAATAAACGGACTAATGCCACCATCATCCTCTTCCGAAGCAATGGGTGAAGTCCGACGACTTCGCTGAGATTGACCATACTTGTTTTGCAAGATACAGAAACCTAATCCAGTAAACAATAAGCATGTTTCTTATATTCTTGGAGTCCTTACAATCTAAGGATTGGTTTACATCGTAAGTAATCACACTTCCAAAATGATCAATATCTACTTTTCTAGATATCCTTTGGGATACTCTCGGTTTAATATGGATTTCCTATCCTAAAAGGTCTTCACCTCGACTGGTATAAATACATCTTCTAAAGTTCATCTCTGGTAACGCAATTATCACATACTTATTCTCTTGCTTACTGCTTGAATCTCATAATATTGCTTACTAACTTGACTATCAAAGTGCCTTTGCACAAACCCCCGATTTTTGGTTACTTATGGTTGTTTACTATTTTGCAGATAAACAAATTTATGCATCTTTACCCTTCACAGCGGTGTGCGAATTTGATTTCAACATTAACTATTAGACGGGGAATGCTAGAGTTAGTTGCTTTGACTCTAATAAAATTTAGATTACATATGTTATGGCATGTCTAAGAATGCCTTTGAAATGAATATAAAGTATCTCAAATACATAAATAGATGCTCTTAATCTGAGATATAAGTCTCACGTTGGTTGTATAAGCTCTCGAAAAATGATGCCTATGTCGAATGCACAATCTAATATTTCTCACTTGCCAATTGGGGCACTACAGAAAAGCATTACTTGTGTGCTTTTGGACCTTACCTCTTAAAAGAAAACCCATGTATATTTGTTCATCAATCGACATAAAGACATACAACCTTACGGCCCAACTAAAGGAAGCGAGCTCATTTGAAGGCCAGTTTCATTTCATAGATAACTACTCCCAAGTTTCATATTACATAGTTGTATGACAAAGTGCTTTCTTTATGGAGGGCCACTTGACCATGGGCTTCCTGCTTGCAATTTGTAATTTTGGTTTAACTTCTGGTCAGAGGCCATTAACTTTTGTTAATCTTAGAATTGATTAGTTTGTCTGGAACTGCTTTTGAAATGACTAAATTTGCCTGTTGACAATCAAACGCCCTAGACTCCATTGTGTTGCACCAAATAAAACATTGAATTAATGTTATCCTCTCTAATCCAATGTAACTCAATGCGATTTAATCATATCTCCTAACCGAATTCAATCACAATATTTTTGAATTATAAAAGCACTTTTAATATTTCCTTTTTTTTTTTTTACTTTGTTTTCGTGCATTTCAAGTGTTTATGAACATAATTACTTCATACACAACAACTTTTAGACGAGCTAATATTCTTATAGGTCATTTGGTGTCTAGGTTTTGAATGGGGATAACTGTGTAGTTTGATGCATCTTAAAAAGGTAGAAGAACTTGAAGAAAACTTCTCCCTTCAAACTCGACAAAAATGGTAGGATAAGAATAGAGAAGTTTTCATCATAACTACTCCCAATTTCATTTTTTGTTTCGGGGTCAAAATCTCTCTTATACCTTCAACTGTGACAAAGTTTGAAAGTCGACATCACTCTTCCATTCAAGATCCAATTGAACTAGTTATCCAATTTATTCCCATCTTAGACACCAAAAGACCTTTTAGAATAACGGACTAAAGATCAAATCTTGACCTTCACTACTATTAAGGCAAGAGGATATATGATGGGAGAGTGCTACCCTGTAGAAAAAAAAAAGGTTTTGGTGTATCAAATCTTCTGCACTCAACATGAGTGTGACATCTTTGTGATCCCAATCATTGAATGACACGTGTTTGGGATCCGCTTGTCCCGAAATGACTTGACCCAATAGAAAATCCCAATTCGTTGGGCCTTTTTGATACAATCAAATAGAAAGCCTCAAGGTCGCCATATTCTAGGAGCCCAAACTATGTGACTGAATAATTCCTGCCATCCACACTAGAATAAATGAAGTTTTCCAAAAAAAAACTTGCTTGTGGAGGAAGACCTTGTAAGGATAGGAGACATAGGGCAAAAAAGAGAGCCAAAAATGGTCCTTTGTGTATAATCCTGCATAATCTCGAATGTTTAACCCATGTGTGGTATTTGAAACGTCTTCCTAGTTATATCGTGAATTTTTAGATAAAACTTTTAAAGAATTAGAAGGCCTAGTATATTGTGATGTGTGATTTGATCAAAATTTTGTTTTTACAGATTCTAAATGAGAAATTGTCATCCCATTGTGTAAGCACATCAATGAATCATGGAAAACCGTCATACAACCTATCTAAGATTAGGGAGGGAGATCCTCAGTAGTGGTGACCCTTTCCCTCTTCCAGAGCTGATACGTGTATCGAATGCATATACGTGAAAGTTGACTCCTGAGTTTGGAACCTAGGAGGTTGCTCTAAGAAATCCTTTTTTTTTAACTTATATTTTCTTAACTTTGTTGTGATAAATTTAATACGTGTCAAATAGTGATTCGAACTACAGAGACGCCACATCTTTTTTTGGTGCAGAAGATTTAATATCAGAAAAGTTCCACATAAGCACTACGAGGGCTTTTCCTTGAGCCCACCAATTGCATAACCAAAAACTTTATCTTTTTGAGTAAAGATTGATAAATATATAATAATTAAGATTTAACGACTAAACATTTTAAAGTAAAAATAAAATGCCTTATAGCAGAATAGAATTTTCGACCAGAAAGAAGGAGGTTGCAAAAAAATAGAAGTAAAAGATAAAGCACTGAAAAAAGAATATAGGTATATATATAAGGTCCAATACAAATTAAAACAAGTTCCCTCTCAATAGTGACATCGATACAAAGCTCCCCTAAAAATGTCCCAAAGAATTCAACAGAATCGTAGCGTATATGTAGCTCAAAATTCAAATACAAGTGGTGATCAAGTCCCATTCAAACATGGGCTAACATATTAATAATATCAGAAGAAGAAGAAATAACCAAATTAAGATATGGTAGAGGAGATGAAATACAAAAAGAATATAACTTGAAGGCCTGCGGGCAGAGAGAGTGATCGTCTCCTCATCTAAAGCATCAAGCTGAGGACAGCCCACCCAAACACCAAGCTTCCTACCATCTTCTGCATCGACCACATCTTCTCTGCTCCACTCTGCACGTCAACAGCAAAATTCATAAGACTAATTAGAAATATACTGCCTCAATATTGGTGAGCCAGTTGTTAAGTTGTGCGTTTTAGCTACGTCTCTGACAGCGATCATCAGGCGTACGTGGTTAAACTAAATTGTTAATCGTCGATGCTTGTGAGTGAAATCTAACAACGAATTGCAAAATGATCGACAACTGACAACCGCCTATGCAAAATGCAAAGATCAATACAATTTGGCATGTTAACAGCCAAAACTTGAAAATGCATACCATGTGGGAAAATGTTGGTCGTTGAAGACTAGCCATTGTCTCCAAACATAGAGTAAGTAAATAGAAGCGCGAGAAGTACCTGATCAACTGAAGATGACGGTCCCGGAGCGCCGGAATCGAGGGCCGGCGCTGGAGCTCCGACTGGAGGTGCGGGTGGGCCGGGGGCCAGTGCGAGGGGAGAAGGCGCCAAAGCTGGAGATTTCACGGTGGGTGCTGGAGCTGGTACCTGAGCTGGCGGAGACGCAAGAGGGGCCGGTGGTGGTGTTGCTGGTGGTGGAGTGGCGGGTGGCGGAGTGGCTGGTGGTGGTGTGGCCGGTGGTGGAGTAGCGGGTGGAGGAGTAGCTGGAGGTGGAGTTGCGGGTGGAGGAGCGTTGACTGGAGGTGGGGTGGCCGGCGGGGGAGCTGAGACAGGGGGAGGAGTTGATGGAGGCGGAGACGTGGTAACTGGGGGCGGTGCTGTGGCAACGGGAGGAGGAGCTGACGTGGGAGGAGGGGTGGATGCGGGAGGTGGAGTGCTGGCGGGGGGAGAGGGTGGTGGCTGGTTGTTGGATGGTGGAGTTGTGGGTGTGGCAGGGGGAGCAGGAGTGCTAGTGGTGGGTGGGTTGGCGGGGGGAGATTGGCCCCCGACACCGGCGAAGACAATGCAGACAAAGCCTAGGAAGAACAAAGTCTTGCGATCCATGTCTGATCTCTCTGTGTGATTAACAGAGAGCGAGAGAGAGAGAATGAATGAGTAAGTCGACTCGGTCGACTTATGGAGTTTTGGGTTTAGAGTGGGAGAGAGAGAGCAATTGGGACTGGTTAAATAGGGCCTTCTCTTTAGAAGCGTGAGCAACGGGAAGCTTGTTCGAGCCTTCGTTGGCTTAATTGTAATTTAAGGGGGTATTATTTCCACGTGGTGGTACCAAACGCATCTGGACCGTTGGATCTGCGTGTTTTGGGTGCGTTTGAAGTTTATTACATATCGGTTGGTAGAGGTGAAAAACAGAGGTACTCATCGCTCGTGGTGTAGGAGGACACGATATGTTTGCTTAAATACTAATTTTGGTTTTGTTCATATGTAATTGCAATACCATATGTGTCATATCATATCACAACTTATACATATTAGTTATGTATATCTTGTATAATTAAGAACAAATAATCTGTCATATGTTGGAAAGTCCACTTTTTTTTTGTTTATTATTATTTTATGGGTTTTAGAGGTCGCACTTGGTGCGATGGCAAGTGCTTTCGTCCATGAGCGGTAGGTCTCGGGTTCGAGACTTGGGAGCAGCCTCTCTATAAATGAGGGTAAGGGTAGCCGACATTCACCTCTCCCAAACCCTGCGTAAAGAGGGAGCCTTGTGTACTGGGTACGACCTTTTTTATTATTTTATGGGTTTTCTTGTAAGATTAGAAAGGATTGCTCTTCTTTTAAGATTAGGGGAATTCTATATAAATAGGATATTTTGTAACTCTATCGCCAAGAAAGTTTGACAATATGTAGTATTTTTGGCAATTTTGTAGTGTTTCTTTGTTTCAATTAGTTAAGTAATATTCATAGTTTTATAGTATGATTGTTGTCTGTTATTCATATTATACAACATGGGTCATGAGAGTTTCTCTCCATCGAATTAATTTGTGCTTTCTCTTCTTTTTTATTTTTTTTTATTTAAAAAATTTTTCATATGGAAATAGATTGAAAGGTGGTTGTGATGAATCTTATGCATCAACAAGTGTGATAGGATATGACAACTACTATGTATCATCTTCTTCTTAACTTTTGTTTCTATATATTTTTCAAATAAGTATGGTAGATTTGTTAAATTTTGAATTTTTTTTCATTCATACCGACACAGATTAAGTTTAGAATGATCTTTTAGTTCGTTCAAAATATACTCATAACTTTATCACAAACATTTACAAATAATACATACGATCGTCTTATACACTACTCGCATTTGCATTGGCAACTAATAAAAGTGAGTGATTTGGTATGTTCCCTACCATAACATGCTATCACTTGAATAGAGTTGTTCACCATGTGGTTGCATCATTGTTGTAGTGCATGGTAGATGGAAGCTAATGAGGTAGTTAACCACTTAATCATAATCATGATTACCGTTTAGGAGTATCAATCAACATTATGATGAGTGGGCCAGGCCTTTTTTATATGTGGTGGGATCCACACAAAATGGGGCATGGCAGTTGTGATTTGTAAGCTATATATCTGGCTACATGTACGGGCTCAAGTCCAAACCATCAAAGTGTGGGTCCCTGGGTCTCTGTGCTGTCACGCCGTGATCGGTGCCTTCAACTATAATCTTACTACTAGTCTACAGCTTACAGCTAGCAGATTAATTACTTATGAAGTAATAAAATGAAGACCCTTTTCAAAAAAAAAAAAAAAAAAATGAAGAGGAAAAATTATGAAAAGAGTAATGTTAGACTAAATTTGAAGATTAAATTTATAAATTCAATGATATATCATCAAATAAGAATGAGTATGTTTATCAACGCTTAAATAATAATTCAATCATCAATTTCTATGTTATTTAATTTACATAATTTTGTATACATATTTAGTCTCTCTCATTGAAAATAGAAAGAAATAATCATGTGTCTACACACATTTTTGTATATAGTTTAGTAATTTTATTTAGCATATGTAAGACTCAAAGGAGAAACCTTTTTGTAATGTTTTTAATGGTTTAAGGAGAAAAAAAAAAAGATACTTTGCCAATAAGGTAAAGAGCAATAATTGTTCTACTCAACATTTTTTTAAATACAACAATATTATTTATCTTAAAGGGATTGATGAAAGGGCTAGACCATACAAATGACCAGCTATATTAATTTTATTTGAATATGTATTTGACAAGTATTAAATTTAAAATCTCTTACTTATCAGTAAAGAATAATATCATCAGATTGTAGTATAAATAACAGTTATACTTAACATCTTAATTACAAACATCATTACCTTGTTCACGTGTCATAGTTGGTTCCACTACAAGGCATCAAAAAATTTAAATAGGAATGAAATCAAGTTTATTGATGGTTAGGGTTTTCACCCTCTAACTTCCTAGGGCTTCCTTCATTGATAAAAAATAATGGATGGACTGCCAATTTAGTCTCTAAATTATCACTTGAGTGAAAATTAGGTTTTTAAACTATTTTTTCTTCAGAAAAATCTATCATTGAATTATAAAAATCCGCCAATTACGTCCCTAATATTAAATTTGAAGCTACTATATTTAATTTTCCATCAATTTAAGTCATGTTACTTGCATATGATACACATTGGAGGGTAGATTGGTAATTTTTCATAAAGAAACAGTGTATGGAGTTAACTTTGGAGGGTAAATAAGACATTAGATTCACAACCTATATGAAATGTTAAAGGCTTATAGCGAGAAAAATGACGGTATTACACCATAAAGTGTGTCAAGTGATTTAAGTTGTCGAAAAATTAGATAAAATAGCTTTGAATATAATAGTAGGGATGAAATTAGCAATTTTTAATGAATTTAGGGTTTTATTTTACAAAATAATAATAATTCAATGATCTAATTTTCACTGAGGTTATAGTTCAATGACTAAATTGGCACTTTACCAAAAAAAAAAATTACAAGATGAAACGAGACATATCACATTTTGATTTAAACCAAGTCCCAACTAAATCATAAGCTTATGAAATAATGTTACACTAAAAATTTTGGATTCTTATACATAAATTTCTTACTTTATTGGATGGTATTCTCCTTTTTTAATCGATATGATAGGAAGGATTGGAATATCGTGAATTATTCAATATCAAGATGAAATATTCCATTTCATCGAGAACAACTTAATTACTTTTTAGGGAACTTTAACGAAAAACTCATGGTATTGTTTATATTAACGAAAAATTATATTTTTACATTAAAAAGTTAATCCTGGTACTATTTACTTTATCCTTTATTTTATCTTTATCGTTAAAACTCAAAGTTTTCAAACTTTTTTCATTAGTTTTCCTTACTTTTTAACTTGTATTATGTTTTCAATTGTTATTGATTCGTAATCTGATAACATAACAGTTAATTTGTTATTGATTCGTAATCTGATAACATAACAATTTAACATTTACAATAAAAGTCGTATATGTGGTTTTTGTAGCTTAGAATGCACGGAATGGGAATGGGACAATTGCTTAATTGTCACGGTTGTGATTTGGTTGATGTTAACTTGCGAACTCCCCCTTGGTTGGCCCATTTCTTTCTTTTCCAGTTTCCATAACTCAAGAAGCTCAGCTGCCGTTTCCTACCGCGTGGATTGATCTCACTTTTTTACACCCTATGAAAAGCAAAACATTGATAAAAGTCATGCACGACTCAATGGTGAGAGAAGAAATTAGGTCTGCATTGCACACATATTTTAGATTTGATTCTTGACACTGATAAATCACACAATAGTGATAAGGGAAATACTGAAATGTTTTTGTGAGTCTTCTCACTACCGAAAGGATAGATTGTTGTGGCGAAACTACCAACTGGCCCTCTTTTAAGAAGAAAAAAATGTTAAACGTTGTTGTGCATGGTTAAGGATAAAGTTGTAAAATGGGACAAAATAAATGTGCATTATATATGGAAGTGTTGCATTTACAAATTCCTTTTCCCGATGCCAAAGGAATTATGTTTCTTAACCATTAATTAGATTGGTCCAACATTCATGCTACGATGCTCCACAGGCTTGAATAACAAGTTTATATGTATCATTCCGATTTTCCGTGAGATTTGTTTGATCATATATAATTTCATCAGTTTTGTTTATTAGGGTTTTGGCTGTCTATATTCTTTTCAAATTTAAGACAAGATATTTACTCTCAGATGGTAATTTTGTATGTGTTTTTCTATGTATTCACATGCTTTTACGACCCTAGCTAGCTATAATTTACTTATAACTTCAGTTATAAAATCTTTTAATTTTTGTCAATACAGTTGTGATAAGTGTTCGACTCTCATCCTTCTTACTTTTAAGAAGGAAAAGAAAGGTTCCTTCCTACTATAATTTACAGTATATAAATTATAGTTCTCAACCTTGTGCTGTAGAATATCACACTAGTGCGGTGTGAGCTAAAGCTTTTTGTTTGCCTAAGTTGGACTTATACATTGAATAAAAGGAAAACTAATGAAAATTGCTTGAAAACTTTAGCTTTTAACCAAAATGACAAAATAAAGTGTAAAAGAATGGTACCAGAAATGACTTTTTAGGCTAAAAATGCCATTAACGTTAAAAATAAACAATACCAAGAATATTTCATTAAAATTCATTTGAATAGATCAAGATTCAAAGTCGAGGTTTCTTGGCTTAGGAATAGTTACATCTCAAAAGTTGAAAGTAAAGACATTTTATTAAAATCGAGGTTGATTGTTGCTTGTAGAGGTGCACATGGTGCACGCTATTGTTAATTGGCATGCACCGTTGGCTATTTCATGCATCAAGTCGATTTACTATTTGACTTTTGAAAAAAAAAACAGAAAGATTTTTATTTTTTATCACGAAGATAACTTTCATTATATTAAAAAATAGTACAAGGTCCCAAAAGAATCTGGTAAACAACTATAGAGAAAGTAAAAGACCCAAGTAAAATAAGAGCGGCAACCCAAGATACAACTGGACCCACATAAGCTTAGGCCCCAAAGCTATAAAACAAACAATAACAACCCTACTTTCCAGCAACAAAGACCACATTGCCGCTGCTGTCACATCCTCGAAGGAAGCCAAACTCCGAACTGAGAAAGTTGACACCAGATCCAAGTTCTCTTCATGAATCCCTGCAA